TCACGTCTTTCACCTTTCATCACGTCGCCTTCTCACTCTTGCCTGACCATCGTGCATCCCCAGACAGAATCGGGATTCGTCACTAAAGACCATTTGATTCCATTCCCGGTCCCATATAATTCTTTCTCTACACCTGAGCAACCAGTTACGCCGATGTTCAGCTGTGAGAGGTAGCACCCAGTGTGGGCGATAAGAAAAAAGGCCAAACTGTCGTATTCGGCGATATACCGTACCCATCCATACCAACCATCCTTCCATGCTCTTGAAACCACTGATTAGCGATGGCTCGAGTACTACTGAATCTGTCTCTCAATACACACAGCCACCACAAAAACTTAACAGAAAAACCTGACCATTTTATCACTTGTTCATGGCAAGATAAATCGATACGTAAAAAATTCTTAAATTCTAATAAACATACGTAGGAGTTTACCTTTTCTTGTCACTCGGTATAAATACAAGACAAAAACATTCATTGCTAGTTCCATTTGACAGATGTAATACAACTACAAGTTCGCCCACTGAAATGTGACCAAACATTTTCCAACGTCTCCCGGATTATATAAAAGTTAACACCAGTAGGAAAGCCTTTAAGAAAGAACTGAAAAGTTAACTGTTGGAGAACAGTTTTTATAGTCTGTCAGAGTTTTTGTATTTTTATCAAGAGGCTTTATTAATTACCTTTTTGTTTTAGTCTTAGGATTTATTGTATTGACAAACTTATGCAGCATTGCAAAAAAGTACTTTAAAATCTGTTTATTTGTCAGTGACACAGTTTTTATTGCCTCCTAGAAAATTCAAATCATGGGACGGGGCTTTTGCTCTGACCGATTCAATTGTATAGTCGTTTTTTATATACTTAGAACAATTTTACATCGGCTGACCGCTACTTAATGAGTAAGCTATTTAATTTTTATTTCAGAGGACCTCTGAGAATTTTTCATGAATCATACTGAAATTGGATGTAACCGGTAAGAATTTGAAAGGATGGCGCAACCTGTAACGATAAGAATCTAGCTTTCCAGTTGGAGGTACCTATTATTTGAAATACTTTTTGAAGGTTGCGAATTCTAAAATCATACTTCTTGGGTAAAAAAATCGTAAAAAGGATCAGGGTCTATAAGCGGCATTTTTACCCTAAAAATAACTCGTATTCCAACGAAATATATTTTATGGTATATGTATTTTAATACGGTCGTCAACATTTTTCTTTACATTTTAGTTCTTGATTGTTATTTAGAAGCCCAAACTTATAGTTATAGTTATAGTCGAAATCACGAAATATGACGATTACGTCATCATTTTAGTCTGTAGTAAAGACAAACGACAGCGATTTGGGAATACTTTAACTGAAAATTCAGATATGTTAGACAGAGATAAACAGAATTTTATTGTCTAAACAAACTATACTTCTAGTTTGTATATATCCGACAAAGACAGACGATGTTTTCATGTTGCATGATCGATCATATTTGAAAGATGAGTAGTTAGGTTATGTTAAAGCAGGTTAGCTTGTTTTCGAATAATAATTAGGTCTTTGGTGTTCCTTTCTTTAGGTATTCTACTCATAACTGTTTTTTTAAAACAAAAACTCCCCACTAAAATTATTATTAAGGTATCACTCAAAACCATGAAATAAAATGAAAATAAAAATAGTCAGTGAAATAACCAAACTTGGCAAAATCATAATATAAATTTGTTGTTATTATGTTCCTGACATCGTGATTTTATCATCGATGTACGTCCACTGATTACTTCAGTACAATTTGGGGTATGACATCTTTCGTGATTTTGACTATATCTCTATTTTTTGTAGAAAATTGCTACTTTTGAGACTGTACTATTGTCTTCTGGAGTTTTAGACTGAATCCTAAAATGTTGATGAAAGTTTAAAATATTTAAATACAAAATTTCCATACATGCGATCAACTTGAAATATGAGTTATTTCCAAGGTCGAAAACCCCCTCTGTAGACCTTGATCCTTTGTTTGCCCTGTATATTAACAACGAAGACGTTTTTCGAAAATAATTATGGAAGAACAAAATAAAAGACGAGACATCGCCACTTGAATGTTTGGCCCATATTTAGGAAACATCCTGTAGAAGCTTCAAGGTTGACCTTCGCAGTCCGGATTCATGATTTTTATGAATAAATCTGCTTGCACGATAAATTCTTCTAGGCTCTTATTTACTTACTTTCAACTGAATGTACTGTATGAAACTGAATCCGATAAATCACATACCAATCTATCTGGAAAATTCCCATTTTATTGCAAATGGACAACGTTGTTTGAATGAGAAGACTCTCCCAATATCAATAAATTCGAGAGGTAATTTGAAAAATGCCTACCAATTTTCATCCATTCCATTCCAAAATGATTGTGAGTTGTATCTCTCTGTAAATAGCCGCGGTACATGTTTTACTAGTTTTGTTGCGCAGTAATATACACAATTTATGACTGTTTTGAAACAGCTTGGTCCAATTTCTGTTTAAATGGGCAACATGTGTATCATGCAGTTTGTTCGCGAGATACTTATTTTGCACAGCTAGCGACATTTTTGTCGTCCTGCATTCAATTAGAACTTAACTATGTCATCACTATCAATACCAATTATATTACGGGATACCAGTAGATTTCAGCGAAAAATTGACACCAAATTCGTGATCTACGAACCCTTTTTACCCAAGTTGTGGGATTTGGTTGTCAATCAAGAATTTCTCGATCTATGTTCGAGTATTGAGCTTTCAAACATTTTTTCAACGCAACATTTCCATTGTCGTCTGTCGTTCATGCAAATGAACGAAACTTGATGCAATGGAATAATTTGGAATGCTGACTTCGAATATAGACATAACAAAACAAGTCAATTATAATAGTAATAATAAATGAGTTTTATAGCAACATAGTATAAAAGAGAAAAACATAAACTCTCATCCATCTAAAAAACAGCTTGTCGCTGAAAGGCAGAATTTGGAATTTCATCCCTCTCTTCCACTCAACCTAAATATATTATTATGAATTTTCCAAAAATTCATATACAGGGTGGCCCATCCATATGTGGACGGAATATTACTCAACAACAAATACAATTTGGCACATTTCTAAAATAATGGTCATTATACAGGGTGTACCAAGTTCGACCTACATATTAAAGTTGTGATTTTTCAAATGAAATGCTTCGAATTTTATTGCATATTTGGATCAACCAATTCAAAAGAAGAAAATTGATATAATGCATTATGGAGTTTTGGTAATTAGCTACTGAGATATAAGGTGTTCTGTCAAGAAAAACCTCCCACTTCGGCAACCCCTCAGTCCGCCATTTCTTTACAGGGTGGTCAAAAACGCAAATTGTACTTTTTCTCAAAAATGTCAAATGCATGACCTTGTATATTTGTGCAAGTTGGGACTCAATTTTTTATAAGTTTTTTTTAATACTAGTCACATAAGGGTTTTTACGGCTATTTTTTCGGTTATTAGCACGTTTTTTATGGAACGGCTTATCGCATCATCCCTGGAAACAAATAAATTATTGATTAGTCACAAACTGTCAAAATTAGCTTTGTGAGCATTATAATAAAAACGTGTTTGAAAATGAATTTTTCTAAAGATGAAATGGGTGAGTGTGGTGTTCGTTTTGGGCGAAACCCAAAGAAATAGTTTCCTAGCACCTCGCATTTATAAGCAACGGAACCCTAATAAACGACATCCAAGGCCGGAAACATTTTCCACACTACGAGAACGTTTTGAATCAAGTGGAGCAGTGGAAAATAGTAAAAAATGTATAGATAATCCAAGTGTCACCAATGAGGCGGATCAGTTGGGAGTTCTATTAAAGTTGAAGGAAAATCCCCATTTAAGTGCACGGCAAATTGGAGCAAAAGCTAATATATGCAGAACTTCGGTCCAAAGGATTATTCACAACCATAGGTACCAACCATCAAGGCATTCGTCCTCAGGATTTCGCAGCTCGAATGGAGTGAAATCTGACACCGATGGACTTCTTTCTATGGGGCTACGGTAAGCAAGAGGTTTATAGATATCCACCATCTACCCCGGAAAATATGAAGGAAAGGATTAAGGATGCTTTTCTGAACATAAGGGACATGCTGAGGGATGTGCAAGGGTCATTTATCTAAAGACTACGGCTATGTATTCAACATGGTGGAGATATTTTTGAGCAGTTTTTGTAGATTAGGTCTTGAGTAGTGATAGTTGTTTGTTTATGATGTTGTTATGGTTGTTTTTCTCTATTACACTTGAAGCTGATTTATGCTGTTCTGATTGATAATAGTTTTTACGTCAAATCTGTACTCTTAGTGACAATATGGAACTAGCCCACAGTTCGTCTTTTGTTCCCATGGATGATGTGATTTTTTTCCTTAATTTTGGTGTGTTGGTCTATTAAAAGCTTAATAACTCAAAATCTAGTGATTTTATCTGAATCAAACCTTATACCAAAAAGAAGCTTATATACAATTGGATCCAAACTTGCACAAATACACATGGTGATGCATTTGAAATTTTTGAGAAAAACTACAATTTGCGTTTTTGACCACCCTGTATGAGCAAAAATGAAAATACGAAAAAGTAACAAATAAGATAAAAGCTGAGGTGTGTAAGTTTTTTTTATATAACATTCAGCACTCTAAATTTCAAGATGGCGGATGGAGGGGTTGCCGAAGTGGACGATTTTTCTGGACAAAACACCTTACATCTCAGTAGCTAATTACCAAAACCCCATAGTATGTCATATCAATCTTCTTGTTTTGAATGGTTTATCTAAATATGCAATAAAATTTGAGGCATTCCATTTAAAAAATCACAACTTTGATATATAGGTCAAAATTGGGACACCCTGTATAATTGCCAATATTTTATAGATGTGCCCTCAAATGTCAAGTATAACATGCCATAAATAGATTTTTCCAAAATGTATTTGTTTATAAGTAATATTCCGTCCACACATGGATGGGCCACCCTGTATATCTGGTAGTTGTCTTGAGTATTACATGTTTCTTGCAGTACCTTCCTGGGCTCAAGGACCTCGAGGATGTTTACTGACAGAAATACCCTCATTGACAGTTCTCTACGTCCCAGAAATGTCTTCTGTAGAGCTGACATCAGACTGCGGTCTAGACGGGACCAAGAGAATTTCTTGCAAGGGGGATGCAGTAAGTAGTCAACATTTCTCAATAATCAGAATTTACAACTTTTTGAGTGCTCAATATGTATCAACGTGTATGAAGTGACTATTGTACTATGAACTCTAAGTACTTAATGGATACACCTCTTCTTACAGGATCGAGAAACGCTGTTGAAACAACTAACCTGCACTATACCTGGGGACGACTTTGAAGACAAAACTACAAAGTCTGCAATATCTTCTTCATCATCTGCACCATTAGCGACCCTACCATCTTCTACAATAGACGACAACTCTTTGATTGCAGCTAGCACCAAGAGCTGGATATGGACATCTAATACCATCGATATTGACTACGGAATGCCTACGAGGCATCGAAGAGAAACGGAAGATACTCTGAGCCCTGTCGCTACGAAGAGTACGAGCACTACTACAAGGATTACCAGGCCAAAAGCAGATCCTTTCTTAGGTAGGTGATAAAACTGTCGTGTGAGTTATGCAAGATGTAGAGAAACGGGTCCTAAGCCGCATCCCTCCTCATTGTCTTTGCATTCTCTGAAACTCTTGCCAAGTGTCAAGAGTAGCTTAGGTATCTACCACACCGTATCGATGGTAGAAAAAATGTTTGCGTAATGCTGCAATTTTCATTATTATATCTAGACATTTGCAAATAAGGCTTTTTACCTATATGCATATTTTCGTAAATCGCAGGATCCTAGATTCGTATTTGTCATGGAATTGGTTCATTTAGATGTTTGATCAACATTTTATTGAATAAACAAGTTTTTGATTATAGTCGCGTAAACCAAATCCCTATCAGTTGCCTAATTCTACTATCCACTACTTTTTTTAAATCATTTTTCGAGGTGAAAGGATAATGAAAAAAATGATAAAAGGAAACTCCTTCTATAATGGCTAAAGCTGTTAAAGCTTTTCGGATTAAGAATATGGGATGGAAGACAGAGAGCAGGTATACGAGTATGTCTATCATGTTTGTTGCCGAGGAATTAAAAACTATGGATCTGTTTTAAATATACAATGAAAACCACATTTGTCTGACGGCTTGAGTTCAATCTGTACGAAAGAGAAGCGTGAGAAGTGTGTAGAAAGAGATAGAAGCCGGCTGAAGAGCGAAGATCATCACCACATTATAATATAAATATATAAATATGTATATATATATATATATATATATATATATATAAAAACATTATTTAGGTGTAGAGAATGAACAAACGGATATTTTCAACATGCATCTTAATTCAAGGAGCTGGTGATATCGGCAACGCGGCAGATTGCCGCCTAATGTAAAGCAAAGAAAGGATGTTGGTCTATTACTAGATATAAAATTTTAGGTTCACATAAAGTTGAACTCTCATTTTTCACCATTTTGTAGGTTGATTTTTTATTCCAGTACGGAGTACTGAGGATTGACAATGTTTACTAGGGGTCCGGTTCAGTGATCTAATGCAAAACACGAAAATGATTATTTAATAATAATAATTTTCAACTATATCGTATAAAAGTGAATATTAAATTACGCTTAACATTACAAAGTGGATGTCATACGATTTCAAAATACACTTTTAGCTAATATGATATTTTTAAATTAATAAAGAAATGAGTCCTCGATCTTCACTTTCCTCTAATGAATGGGTCATTATTTTAAAAAGGGGACACATGTATGTACAAGCCCCTTCCCACTTCAGTTGGCCCAACTATTGAAATCTTAGTTTTTTTCTTATCAAACACAAATAATAAAAATGTAGCACTGTGTTATAGGTTTAAAATATTAACAATGAATATTTTGATAATATATATATAGTAGTAAAACACCAACTTTATCACTCCTTAATCAAATTTGCAGCATAAAAATAACACATGTTGCAATTACAGCATTTCAACCTATTTTCATTTCAATACAATACAAAATAAGTCTATAACGCTTACTTGGATGTGAAAAATAAAAGCCAAGACAATTGCTTTTATTAATCACAGCTGTCAGAATACGTTTAAAATAGTTTTGGGTAGTTGAGGTTTTCAAAATGGGTAGATGAAAGGTTTATTATATTTATTATTATTATATTTATATTAGTGAGAAAATTCGGTTACTGATAGTTAATTTTTTTAATTCTGGGAAATCAAACTCAGAAATTGCAACTTTGTTAGACTTATCGCGGTACAGTGTGAGAAATATTGTTAGAAGGTATAACGTAACAGGTTCAGCTAATATTAAGCCACGATATGTGAAAAAAAGTAATATCACAAATGCCGACCGAAGAGCATTAAGAAGGATAATCGTGAAAAACAGGCGTGTCAATTATTTACAATTAGGTGCTCTGTGGAGTGACGCTGTTGGAAGGAGAATTTCGAGGTCCACAACTCATAGAGAGGCCCACAAACTGGGATTTAGCACTTGCAAAGTAAGTTTTCTTATAAAAAAAGGTGAAGTAAAAACCCTAAAGTTGCACAACTTGTTTATAGGCCAAAGAAAAGCCACTATTAACTCCACTGCAAAAGAAAAATCGGCTTAGATGGGCTAAATAACATCGACAATGGACACCTCAACAATGGTGTGCAATACAATAGACTGATGAGGCCCGATTCGAAGTTTGTGTAAGCGACAGTCGCAGTAGAGTTATTCGCAAAAAAAATGAAGCATTCCATGTTGACTGTCTGAAAAGAAAAGTGAAATTTCCAGCATCCATTATGGTCTGGGGCAGTATGTCATCAAAAGGAGTAAGAAAACTTCATTTTATTGATGGAAATGTGGATACAGACAAATATTCGGCAATTTTAGAAGAATCGGTTTTACCAGTGATGGAAGAATGTTTGATATCCGGCCAAGATTTTGTGTTTCAGCAAGATGGTGCAGCGTGCCATACCTCAAAAAAGGCTATAAAATGGATGAAAGAAAATAATGTACCACTTTTGAAATGGGTTTCTAGCAGTCCAGATCTGTCACCTATTGAAACTTTGTGGCACGAGATGAAAAAGGTTGTACGACAACATCCTGCTCGTACAATCACCGAACTGAGACAAAAGCTTCAAGAAATATGGGATTGTTTTATACTAAATTTTTGCCAAAACTTGGTTAACACTATGCCCCAAAGAATTTCAGCTGTAATAAAAAATAAAGGTGATGTTACCCAATGGTAATCTTTCAATTGTTGCTTTGTTAACTTCGCGCATTTATTCGCACATTGTTTATTTGTTCAGATGTTCTATTAGTTACAGGTCTAAATGATTTCAAATATGTATTTTTTACGACTAGAGTGTATCTAAAATGTTTTTGATAAAATAAATTGTTTTATAAGTAAATAGTTTCGTCATGTTTAGTTTATAAAGGCATATTTTGGTACAAATCTTGAAGTGGGCCAACTGAAGTGGGAAGGGGCTCGTACACCAAAAAGTGCTGCTAAAAAACTTTTCAATATTTTTTTATTTTGAACTGATCTGTGTTCTAACAAAGTAATTAATATAGTGGTCATGAATTATTAGTATTTTTTTGAAAAAAGCACGGCTTCCAGAGACGCTATCTACGAAGGTGATCAGTTGTGCTACGGAGATGAGAAATGTTCATCAAATTGTGTATTTTCTTGATAGTAGACTGCTAAGAGGTAGTCGAAAAATAATAGATATGTGATAGACGATTTTTCCTAAAACAGTATTTTCAGAAAGCAGACGATTTAGTTTTAAATATAGATTTTAATCAAATAGAGTGTGTGTACCAGAGAGTAGTTTTATTCATATAGTAAAAAGTTAAAAAATCAGTGTTTGGTCTCGTAACATATTTATTCTTATTAACCAAGCGCAAAAACTAAAAAGACAAAAAAGCTGCATACTTCAACGTAAATTCACCACCTCGCGACTGACGTTAAAAAAATGTTAACCTCTTCTAATCTTTTTACTTTCTTGTCCTTTTTTCCCGTGCACATTCTACTGGAATCATAATTTTCATAAAAATGTATGAGTTTTCTTCGAACTTCTGTCCATATACGATCCAAAAAGTCTGTTTTTCTTATGATATACGAGAAGCTTAGATACTAGAGTCTTAAATCTTTCTTGAAAACGGTATTTTTTATTCCCTTCCTGGGACAGCCCCCATCAGTTTCCTTCTTTCTTCTCTATTATTTTTGGCCAATACATTTTCTTTTATTCAGGTAGATAAAACTGCCCCAAAAAGTAGGGTTGATTTAATATCATTTGAAATTATTTGGCCATCAATCATTCTCTGGTTTGGAGAATCTTTGCCTGGATTTCGACTTCTATAAAGCCTTTTCTTGTATTGTTCTTTCTCAGCTATTTCTCTTTTAAGTTCTTTCTTTAGTTTTTGAATCTTTAATCTCAACTTTCTCGTGTTTCTTCTTGACCTTTTGTTGATCTCTCTGAAATTTTGCGTATTTTATATATATATATTTTATATATATATATTTTATATTTTCACGCATCGAGTGCGGACGCATTGTTTACAAACCCTCCACATGTTCTTGCACGCATTCCTGTACCTCACATTTCTTGTCGTAACTTTTTTTACTTCTAGCTCTCCAGTCTTTTCGTGACTTTCTCTGCTGCCAAGGGGTCAGGCCATCGATGGATTTTCTCTCTCGTCTTTTAGCCTCTTCATACCGTTCTGGATTACCTTTTAGTGCTTCCCTATACTTTCTTACTCGTTGCTTCACCTTTTCCCTCTTGTCTTGCTCTCTCTTGTCATTATTGCTTTTTTTCTGCTTAGCCATCTTTCTCTAAGAGTGATTTTTTTTATATATCGAAGCAGCCGCACAGGCAGAAGCCTAAATGCCGGAACACCGCGGCTGCTATGATGATCCCAAAGAAATTTTATTAATACGATTTTTGAACTGCCTAAGGTTAATAGAACTGGGAAAAGCTTCCTCTTGTAGATTGTTCCACAATCTCGACACCCTTGGGACAAAGGAGCGGTCGTATCGGCCGGTTCTGGATGTACGATGTTCGACACGGTTAGGATGGGAGAGAGCTCTGATGAGCAAAGTCCCGTTGCTGTAACGGTAGAAAAGAGCCAGATCGCCGACAGCTCGCCGCTGCGAAAGAGTCCCGAGACTCTATTAGAGAAGAGTCATCGATCAGTCGGACCGCCCTCCACTGGACAGCATCGAGCATGGATAATGTAGTCGGGGCGGCAGCACCCCAAACGTGTGAGCAATATTCTAGGCTAGGCCTTATCTGGGCCTTGTATAGAGTGAGAAGGTCATGCGGAGAAAAGTACTTCTTAGCCCTAAACAAATAGTCTAGCTTTTTCCCAGCAGCTGCAGCTATTGACGAGATGTGTTCATGCCAGATCAGGTCCTCGGTGATCTGGACTCCGACCAGCCGAAATGAATGGCTTTTTGGCAGAACTCGACCATCCATCGAAACCGGATGAGCGCTAGGACGCTTTTTGTTCGTCAAAGTGCAGTACTGCGTTTTGGAAGCATTGAACTGTACAAGTCATCGCTAGTCTTTTTTTCCATCTCAGCGGCATTGCAGGAAAAGAGGTCGTTGATATGCAAGAGAAACAGTGTCGGAGCCAAGACCGATCCCTGGGGAACACCCGCGTTGACGTTGTGAGATGAAGATGAGAACTCGTCAATTACGGCGGATATCTTGCGGCCATCTGCAAAGCTTTTCTGGGAGGCCATAGGATGGAAGTTTGCTTAAGAGGGCAGCGTGCCACAGCTGATCGAACGCTTTCGTGATGTCAAGAGCAACGATATGAGCCTCACCATAAGACTGGATGAGTTTACTCCAGAATTGAGTGACGTAAGCTAGGAGGTCCCCTGTGGGTCGTTGGTGCCGGAAACCATACTGCCTGTCGCTAATCAAGCCGTGACGTTCGAGGTAGTCCAGAAGCTCGCGATTTATGCACCTCTCCATCACCTTACTTAAAACAGAAAGCAGAACTATAGGCATGTAGTTGTAAGAGTCGGTCTTTAGATCCCTTTTTTGGGGCGGGTTGGACATGAGCAAATTTCATAATCATAAGATATCTGGAAGAGACGCGAAAGAACTGGAGCAAGCTCCGGTGCACACCTCTTCAGTACAATGGCAGGAATCAAGTCCGGACCAGAAGCTTTGTTGATGTCGAGCGACAAGGACACTCGTCTTACGGTCTTATGCCAGAATGTTACCTCCCGCATAGTGTAGGGAACCCTTTGAATTGACGGCACTTGGGCGTTGGGGGGGACGTCCATGGTGGAGTTGGCAACAAAGATCTTGGCTAGCACTTCCGCCTTGGCCTTTGAGTTGAATACAATAGTTCCATCCAAACACGTAAGTGGTGGAAGGCTACTGTGTGAGAAGTTCTTTTTAATCTGCTTGGCCAGCGTCCAGAAAGACCGACTGCCATTGCGCTGCGACATTACCCTGTGCCTAACTTTTACATCGTGCTGGTTTTTGGCATTGCGAACCGCTGCTCTATATTTGTTTCTGGACTCAACGTGATGAGACAAATAAAAATCTCATCTTCGTAACATGAGTCTCACCTTCGTAAGAATAACTATGTTACACTTGTGAGAATTTTTATGATTTTTAACCTCTGTTGCTCTCATTTTAATTATTTTCTTCTCGATACTACAAATATTCAGATATCTGTTCAGAATGGCATTAAAAACCAAGGAAATATTGTTTTATGTTTTTAGAAAAAAACTAAAATTTGCGTTACAATAGTGAGAAAAGTGAGCTTACCTCATACAAAAACCGACATTCGACCATGTGTAACTATTTTTTAAGCGCAGGACACCTACTTCCTTCAGCCGACAAGCATGATCTGATCTCGTAGATTGCTCTTGCAGTAAATCAGACTTGTCCCCACATAATTTTACGAAACGCAATTTGAATATAAATGAAAATGCATTTTTTGCAAGATTTTCAGTGGATTCAAATATTGCTAGTGCACATATTTCAATTGGACTAAGTTTAAGAATAATTAGTCTATATCTCCTAACTTTTGTCGGCTGACACGTTACAAACGTGAGAAATGACATTTTGGAAAGAAAATAAAAATAGGATGAAAATCAAAAATACTATGTTTGGTTGTTTGGTATGTCCCAGTAAGAACTAGTAGAGTAATAGATATTTATGGTATTTTGTTCTTAGATTTACCAAAGCAAGGGGAAAAAATCACTGGGGACACAAACATCCCGTTTTTCAAATAATCTGTTGTAGTCAAAAACAAGAATAGATTATCCAGTCAGTCTTGGGAATGGCTTGTCGGTTCGCGATATAACGGAAGGTTTGGTCTTCAATGCTTTTGAGCTTCCCTCATGCAATCTTAATAAAGACAGACGAGCACAATAATTATTAATTTATTATTTCTTTCACTTTTCAGCTACCAATTACGATACAGAAGTAACAACCAGTAGTCTAGACAGCGCTTCAGTATCAGAGCGACCGACAACCCAGTACAGCACTAAAGAAAGCAGCTCGTCGGCGACACAAACCCGAACATCGGTGACACCGGCCACAAGAGAATCCTCAAGCATTCCTACAACAAGTACCATGTCACCAAGTACGTCGGGTTCCGAATCAGTGCAGTTCACCGCTGAACCTACACCAGACTACCCTAGTGCTATTGGCCAAGGACAACTGTTCAGTATTATTGAAAATGGTGAGTGGCTTTGACCCTTATTTGATAAATTCAACTTTAATTCTACAGTGGATGCTTGAAGGTGCACGCTTCTTGAAAGGAAGGGAAGCGAAACTCTTCTTTTGGATTTCGGTACACATAATCAAATGACTGCCCACACACACTACAGTGACGCGAAGAGAAGTGTCGTATCACACTTGACGCATGCAAATGAGAAAGATGGTCGCAGTTCCCTTCTGGCCGTTTCATTTCCCTATTTTATTGCAAACTCCACAAAACACCCTGTGGACTCATGGAATGATTACCCCTGCTTTTTGAAAAAGATGCCCAACCTCCGAATAAAGATCTAGATACCCCGAGAACATATGCATATAAGCCAAAAAAAGAACATTTTTCTCTGCTAAATTTAGATTTTTGTCTCCCCTATTCACAAGCTAACAATGCTTTATACTGATAATTTGGGATAATGATTTCATATATTGTCATTGAAAATGCTAAAGTGTCTCGAAACCCTATTTGGAAAAGGAAAATGGGACAATTGTGGCCTCCCGTCGCACAGTGGTTAGAACAGCCCGAAAACGTGTTCACGCCTTCTCAGTGCAAAATATCCATTTTCGTTTCCCGTTGTTACAAGCGATAAGTTTCTAAAATTCAATTGAACAAACTGTATTTTTCATTGTTTCTTCGATCTACCTGTATTCTGATAGAACCAATGAGTTTTCGCCGCCTAATATCCATTGTCAGATGAACTCATCAATATTTGCAGGAACAATGTTTGACATCATTGAACTAAACGACACCAGCGCAGACGTTGAAAAAGTACCATCAGCACCATCACAACCATCCACTTCTCCTCAAACCGTAACATCCAAACCTTCTATCAAACTCACCAAACTGAACGAGAAGAAATCCACTAAAGATGTCACAGCAAAGAAGCCTTTGACCAAGAAGGACATTTATAAAATATCTGATCCCAAAAAGGCACAGGTTATTCCAATTAAACCCACGCCGCAACCCATAGAAACATTGGAACTTCTGAATGAGACGGACATTACGAAAGAGGTCGTATTGGTTCCAGTTGTAAATGATCAGTCGTTGAAGCTAAACAGAACCTTCAGGTAGGTAATTAGGTATTATATTTCTAAACAAAAATGAATTTTTGATAATTCCAAATGAATATTATTTACATCCAATTTGGATGATGCAGTTTATCTTTGTTCTATCTTTCGCTCGTGTGTTGAATGAAGATCTATTTAAAATTAGTACATAGAAATACGAGTCATTTAAATCATCTGCATTTTCTGTCAAAGAATCAGTAGGATCTGATTGTTATTCTGGGTAGCGATAGAAGGTGACCAATAATTCATACAGTTTCCATTCGAAGCATTTGAGATGGAATTTTAATTGTATTGTTTACCAACCTCTACGAGTTTGTGATTGATTCGTAGGGAATTGTTTAACTTCTCTAATTAATGAATAAGCTGAATACTGAGTATTTAGTAAAGGTTATTTTTTCATATCTGATGGAAGCTTATTTGCCAGAAGCGAAGAGTAGAGTGGAGGGAACTGAATCGATCACCGCACACAGATTGGAAACATTGTCGGCCTGATAGTGGAATATAGGTGTGATCTCTATGGCAAAATGTGTGTGCTGTGGGATCAACTGATTCCTGGCAATGATGCAAATATTTCGCTGTCATTATTTTTCAGTTCAAAAGAGAATTGTCAGTTCGAAATTCAAATTGTTCATAAGTTCAAATCATCGTTATTTTAATTGATATTCGTTTATTTTTATGTTGCACGTGTGCACGTAAAAGATTGCTTTGTCGAAATCTAGCGGAAATTCTAATTGTCGGGCACTTTTGCTACAATGTGTATTTTTCAACTGCTTTATAATTTTTGTCTTGCATATTCATTAGCAATAGACCCGGATAAAGCTGGAAAAATGGGGATTTTGCCGTGGAAAAAAATTACGGTTTTGTGACAATATTTCCGAAATTTCACCATTAAAAAATTGAACAATGTTGGATTTAGATAGTCTCCCGTGGCCTAATAATGAAGCCGAAATAGGCGCAAGGATGACGATGAAAAAGTAAAATTTTACGACATCTTGCATTTTTCTCAAAAATTAAATTTTTTCTCAAACACTAGAAACATATGCGGATACGCTAAAGCAAGTGTGGAAGAGCGTTTCAAAAAAATATAAACGCGCTATAATACTTTGCAAAACTTTAATCCAAAGTATGAAAAAATCTAAAGCAAAGAGGGTCATGTTTCGAAAAGTAGCATTTTGTAAAGGAATTTTAAAAAAATCGAAGCTTTTGAATGGAAAGGAATAAAGAAATAAAAAAGGCGCGTTCAAAATGTCCAATGTCTGGGCTTCCTCATGCAAAAGTCACTAGATCTATAGCTCCGTTTTCTTTGGAGGAGATGTATGCTGAACATCGAAAAGCACATTTGAGACCAAAAAGCCAATTTTCCAACATTTTTCTTTATTACTGATAAACTCTCCCTCTCTCTCTTTCTCCTCTCTCTCGGTAATTTATAGTATTCGTCGAGATGTGCAAAATGTGCTATGCGAAATGTCTTTTCTCTTTGGGGATCAAAAGCAGAAAATAAGGAACGCCTCATTTAGCTATCGAACGCGACCGATCTCAAGTCGATATTTTGAGAAATGACGGAACGGTGGCGGAAATTGTTTCCGAAACGGTATCGTTTTCTAGTAAAACGTATCGCACAAGAAGCAGGTATTGTTAAGAGAAAAAAGGAAAAGGGTAAACAGGACGAAAGCAAATAAAATAAATAGTAGGGCTTGTCGGTGCAAGTGATTTATATATTAAATCCGTTGCAGGAAGGAAGTACCATCTCCACCTCCAGACGATTCAATTGAATTCAACGACGTAGAGGAAGTAGCAAAAGTGGCCGTGCAGCCCATCTTCAATGATTTGCCTGAAGCTGAACCGGAAGTAGATACTAATTCCGATGAACACACTGTGGAAATGGCACCAATTATTGTCTCTGAACAACCGGAAACAGTCGAGGCAGCTGCTACCACTGCCGAATTAAACACGACGAAAGATACAGAGAGTGAAGCTGCAATGATACAGGTGAGATGATATATTTTTTTACATCTCATTGATATTTTACGAAAACTGTTTATTCGACCTATTCGACGTTTTCACTGAAAAACTTACATCAGATGCGTGCGCGATTTACATTTAGTATGTAAGTATATCCTTAAACTTTTTAAATTTTCTCGGGGAATCATTTCCATTTTCGTCTTTTCGTCACCCGTTATTACAAGCGAATGTTTTGTAACGCTAATTTTAAGTATAGCGCGTGAATCGTATCTACTATGATGCTCTAACAATCAACCTAATTTTAATATTTCAAAGGTCATGTCATTTACTAGTATACGATAATAATTATAACATTAATGGTAACCTGTTTGAGCAAATCTCGACTTTTAAGGATTTGGGTGTCGTTTTCGACGCTAAACTGACATTTAATGACCATATCCTCCAAAATTTAAAGTGTTAGGCTCTTGCGTTAGAAACTATTCGTGCTTTGCCGATATCGCAACATTAAAGCTAAAGTTTTGACCATACGGCACTTTTAAGAATCTTTCAAGTTGGGCCGTTACAACTAAGGCGCGACGTGGCGGTGTTAAGATTTGTACTGGACAATCAAATAGATTGCCCTTTAACATCAAGGAAAATCAATCTTCGCGTTACTAGGTTAGGCAGTCGCTTGTTTTAGCCTGACACTTGTTATACAAACATCGGATGTAAATCACCGTTAAGCTATGTATGTAAGTGTTTCAATGCGATTTGTCCTGTATGTGATATACTTTGTGATGAGAAAACTCTGTATTGGATTGTCACCGAAACTGGTACCTTGGTGTGATAGAATCAATACGCTAAAACCTATTTCCACATTTCAAATACTGACACACTTGTAAATATTCATATGCGTGTTTTTTTATGTTCCGCTGTTGTTAAGTTATTGATTTATTTTGGTTGTTGGTATATTTCCTGTAATTGGGTGTAACCTGTTGGGAATTATAATAAAATAAAATAGTTATCAAGAAAGGTTTGGCGAATGTCACGATCAGTATGTCACCCATAAGCGTGCGCAGAAATCCTGTGACAGTGAGGGAATGATTAGTAAATACTGATGGTACTGATCGTGTGGCATTCACCTAAGAGCCTCCCAATGATATCAGCGAGATACTGATATCAGATTTGTAGCCTACAAACGATTAACCCAAAAATAAAGCTAAACCTAAATGACAGATATACACGTGATGCACTGTTGCAAATCGTTTTTCAGTAGCACATATGCCTTTAAGCTTTGCAAAATAAATGCTATAAACAGACCGGATGAAATGCACTTGTGAAACAAGTGTATTTGAACACCGTGTATTTTTGCAGGACAGTTGGGCTCCCCCAGAAGACACAATTAGACCAAATACGACGCAAGAGGAGGCGTTGAAGGCACAATTTCTACCACGTTCACTTCAAACTACAGAAAGCACAACAAAGCCTTCAAACAGCAGTGAAGCACACGCAAATACAGAAGCAACAGAAAAGGAAACCGGTGGGGTAGGTAAGTAAGTAAGTATTTATTTGTTAAGGCTTATAACAAAATTAACAGGTCAAAAAACACAGTAGTTTGCATATTTAGACATTGCTTTCATTCTAGGAATCACATTTAAGTTTACACGTCCTTTCATAGATTACCTCAACATTCGACATATTTACGTTTAGAAAGTTATACGCTGATTATGCTTTCTTAAAGGATAGTTATTTTTTTTTACATGGCCTGTCTTAAACAATTTTTCCCACTGAAAAAAAATAATGTTTCTGTTTCCTATAGCAGATTCTGCACAGCAGAGTTTTGCGTGCCAAGCACTACGGACCAATGTCTCCAATGAGATTTATCACAAAAACATTGATGACTTCTCTCAGTTAAAGGACTATACTGGCTGTCCTTAAAGTTGGAGTTTTGTTACAAAAATCTGAATGGGCTAGCCCGGCAGTGATCAAGTCATAGGCTGCGCAGAGCGTAGTTTAAACTATTTGATTATTTCGAAATCGGATTTGAAGAAATAAAATTGGCATATTGAAACTGCTTGTGATACTTCGCGAATGTACTCCTATGGATGTTTCTGTGCAAAGGCCGACGAGGTGCACACGGTAGAAAACAAAGGCAGGGCTGAATGTTGTAAATTTAGGAAAAACACTTGTTTTTTAATCGAACGGCAACAACTTCTAACAGTTCCGAGTACCGTCGATTCAAAGGGTTCCCTACACTATGCGGGAGGTAACATTCAGGCAACAAAGCTTCTGATCCGTACTTGATCCCTGACGTTGTATTGAAGAGATGTGCAGCGGACCTGGCTCCAGTTCTCTCGCGTCTCTTCCAAATATCTTACGAATCTGGCACTCTCTCAGAAAATTGGGAAGTTGCTCATGTCCAACCCATCCCAAAAGAGAATCTAAGTAGCGATGGAGAGTTGCATAAATCAAGAGCATCTGGAGTACCTCGAACGTCATGGCTTAATTAGCGAATGGCAGTATGGTTTCTGCCACCAGCAAGCCACATAGGACCTCCTATCTTACGTCACGCAACTGTAGAGAAAACTAATCTTATATGGTAAGGAAAGCTGTGGCATGCTGCCCTCTTATGCTAACTTCCATGCTATGGCCCCCCAGAGAAGCTTTGCAGATAGGTGGCTGACTTTCTCTCTAGCCGCAAGATATCCGTCGTAATTGACAGGTTCTCCTCTTCATCTCACAACGTCCACGCGGGTGTTCCCCAGGAATCGGCCTTGGCTCCGACATTGTTCCTCTTACATATCAACGGCTTCCTTTCCTGCACGATCAATCCAGTCCACAGCTTTGCTGATGACAGCCCTCTACATGCAGGAATTCAGAGTGACAAGCCAATCTCTGCCGGTGAGCTGGAAAAAAAGAAGGCTAGCAGCGACTTCCTCTCTGGAGAGAGTCCGGGATGTTATTACTGCTTGGGGACGCAACAATCTTGTACAGTTTAAAGCTTCCAAAACACAGTACTGTACCTTGACGAACAATAACCGTCCTAGCGCTCATACGGTTTCGACAGATGGCCGAGTTCTACCAAAGAGCCGTTCATTTCGGCTAGCCGGAGTCCAGATCACCGAGGATTTGATCTGGCACGAACACATCTCGTCAATAGCGGCAGCAGCTGGAAAAAAAGCTAGGCTATTTGTTTAGGGCTGAGAAGTACTTTTCTCCACAGGACCTCCTCACTCAGGTAAGGAGTACTGTTCACATGTTTGCGGTGATACCGCCCCGACTACATTATCCATGCTCGATGCTGTTCAGAGGAGTGCTGTCCGACTGATCGCTGTCTCTTCTCTAACGGAGAGACTCGGGACCCTTTCGCACCGGCGGCTGTCGGCGATTTAGCTCTTCTACCGCTCCGCCAATGGGTTTTGCTCGTCAGAGCTCTCCTTCTTAATGCCACCTCGCGATGTGCCTGCCAGACAGAACTGGCCGATACGACTGCTCCTTTATCCATAGGATATCGAAATTGTCGTACAATATATGAGGAGACTTTTCCCAGTTCTACTAACCTTAGGCAGTTCAAAAATCGGATTAACAAAGTCTCACTAAGCTCCTCACAGAAGACCGGATAGCCTGGAATTTAGACTTCTCCCTGCGCAATTAATTCGGTGTGAAAAATGTATTTACGTTCATCATTTGACAGGGTTGTATTAGCAATTCATTATCAAATGAATAGTGAGTAATTCAATTTCATTTCTACGTCTCTGTAACGTGAGTTGATTTGAGCCAGTATGCAAGCACGCAAGAATGCAGCTCATACTGTGAACAAAATTATATCGTGCAATTTTAGGTTCGATTTCAATTTTTTCCTCAATAGCAAACCTAAAAAATATTTTTATAAAATAATACTAAAGCACACGTTATCCTTTCTATTTCCTCTCCTTCCTTCTTTCTTCTTCAAGTTTTTATCCCCGACTTTGGTTTCTGGGCAAGCAGGCCTGACAGACTTAGTGACGAACCGCTCTATCAGCGTCTAATGAGACCAAATTAGGCTATATATATGTACATACAACGATAGTGAGGAAAGATTCTAGAATAAGTATTGCATCACAAAACACGTAATTATTTTTTTTATCCAGAGCATACTGAAAAATTTCACGTACCTTCAGTTTAACTTTCAGATGAAGAAACAACGTTAGCCGAAGAGCAACGCAAACCAAACAGGCAACGTCAACTGACGAGGCCGCAAAAGAAGTCTTTCTACCCCTATTTCTTCGGCAGGGTGTTGGGGTGAATTGACGAACATTAGCGGCAAACATGTTTTTGATGTTTGTATTGAATTGTAAACGCACATAACATCACGCACATAATAAGCTCACTTTGTAGTTGAGGCATTTTTCTTGTAATACGAGGGTGAATTCTTAGTCTAGGACTGCAAGCTTTCCATATACTGTGGCAGCACAACGTTTTGGAATAGTAGTTTTGTATATTGAATACATAGTACAATCATACATTTAGGGCTCAAACCTCATAACATATTTATCTTTTTAGAAAAGATTGTGCCAAATATATTAAAATAGAAAACAGACCACTGGTCTAAATACGAGTAACTTTCATAATTTTACACATTTAATAACATTGAATGCGTACTATCCATGCCACTAAATACTTTAGTGATAATGCTCTTAATACTCATGATGTCTATCAAAAAAAGCTTAGGAAATACTGAAAAAGTCATATAGAAAATACAGAGTTACATTCTACACTAACTCATTTAATGTTTAAAAAAATAATTTCACTATACAACAGTTTGAGAGCAAATCTTTCTTACGGCTCTTGGCTAGTGTATGCCATGCAAGATATAATTTATCTTAGATAAGCCACATTCTCTGGAAAAGGAATATAATCATTTGTAGATTGGAAGTTTTTGATACACCCTCGTTAGGAGTTTCAAAGTTACTTTTAATTATATGTATTGTTGAAGTTTATATATGTGTTATATGTTATAGTATTTATTTCACCCTTCAAAAAGGGGCTTAGTTTCTCAAAGCAAAAGATGTGTGAAGTAACCAAATGAGTACAAAGTGCTCACAAAAACAAATACTAATTTTTTGCTTGGAGCACAAATAGATGCTTCATAGAAAATTCAATCATAGTCATAGAATTTTCTTTTGCAATGAGAGTAGATATGGTAGCAAGTAGACACATTTTTTCTGTAGAAATGATGAATCGCTCTAGAATAACAACGGATCAGTCTGTCGGAGAGTCGCATCGCTAGAAAGAATAATTAAAAATAAAATATCAAATGCAGCTTTAGTAAGACGAAAGCTTTTACAACCCCTTTTCAAAATTTACATATGATATCAGTCTGCATAAACACTGTGATTGCTCTCGATTGGCATTAGGCCATGGTGGGTAGAGCGGTGTTTAGTACATTCCAAAGTCAGAAATTATGACATTAGGTACATCTCAAAATTGACTAAATCCAATAAAATATTATTATTTATCATTATATTTGGGTAGATGAGAAGTATCATACATTTCTTATCAACACAAAGTACACAAACTTGTTCTACTTCGCAGCAGCTGCTAGTCTAGACTAGTCTATCACAAATAAAAGTGAACATATTTGCAACGCGACTATAGACAAACTGATCCACGCAAATTAAGCACTATTATATCATAAGAACAAATCCATATACATATATATTTGCACAAAAATGGCTAATTGCACCGTCCCGCTTACTTCCCGTCCTTTTATTTCAAAGAACCAATGTGATTTTTCCAGTTGACAACATAAAAAACCATGAAAATATTGCAAATTGTTTTCATTTATAAGGCTTTTTAAAACATCGTGGAATAACCTTATGAAGTAACACTTTGCAATGACGGTTCTGGAAATTAATGCTCATATTACGTGTAATGGCGCAGTATGATTTCCAGATTTATGGTATGTTAATGATTTCGACTCACCTACTCAAGTACCGTATCTATAACTCTTAGCAAATGTCACTAAATATAATTGGTAGCTGTATCATGCAAATGTTTCTTGAATCTGCTAATCATACTTCACCAACATTTAGGGATAACTTAGCAATCTTAAGAAAATCTAAACAAACAAAAATGACGATATTTATGAAGAATATATCATTTTCCATGCAAAAAAGTTGAAAAAGCTGCAAACTATATATTATGTGCTGCATCATATTTAAATATAAAACTGCAACCTATGCTTTCGTTCCAAGATAATCTCTTAACTTTAAAAAAATATCGCCGAATACTCCCTTTCAATAGTTTTGATTTATAGAGGTAATGCATTTTGTCAATTACAAAAAAATTGTTTTCAAGTTGGATACTTATAAAAAATCTGTCTACATTAGGGTAAGAAACATAGTTTGTTGTATATACCATAGAAGTGTTTGTTTCATGATTGTGCTAATAAAAATAATTAGAAAATTATTGCAGGTGTTTTAGTTCTGTCTGTAGTATTTTTCACTATGTAAACCCTCATTCTGTACATAGCATATATAGGACGCAATGTCTTGCCATGAGAGGTAGCGTGAGGTTCGTCGATTTGTTTCAATTCGGGGCAGAAGGTAAAACAAGTCGGAATTCAAGGTTGTAAATCTGGATGTACAAAAACAACATGTTTAAAATCAAGGTTTAATTTATTGTTTCGTAATTAATACAGTTTATATATTAGTTATTAACAGGGCTTTCAAGTCTGAATAATTTATTTTTTATTAATACTGTATTTTTCGTTAAATTTTGCTGTCTTTAGGATTGCATTGTTTTTTTTATGACGTAAGTAGATGTCTTATGGGGATTCGGTCTCAAAACTTCCAAAATCCGCCACCAGAGGCGCTGGCGTCGCGCGCCATTGACAGGTTGTTGGACGGAATCTGTAATCGAAATTCATGAGTTGGGGATTCCGCCGCTAGATGGCGCTGTCAAACCAAACGGAATCTGTGTGTCATTGGACACCTGTCATGCGTCATTGGGCATCTCACGCATAGATGGCGTTAAAACGTCATCTGTCATACGTCATTGGACACCTGTCATTGATGGGTTGGGCATCTCGCGCATAGATGGCGCCGATTTGTTTGGCGCTGTACAAACCTAACGGAATCTATGCGTCATTGGACAGCTGCCATTGATGGGTTGGGCATCTCGCGCATAGATGGCGCCGATGTCGCACCTGTCTGGTGTTGGCGTGGATTACGGGGGGCAACGTGTATACAGGGGTGCATCGAAAAATAGCGGATCGATGGACCGACGGTATATCGTTAAATCGTATATAGCAAGGCGTGACCTAAATTGCGTGGTCGGTCGGTCGGTCGGTCAGAATGTCTCATAACCTGTATACGATGTACTGTTATTATTATACAGGATGATACCGTTCAAAATGAAAATAGTATAATGGATATTTTATTGAAACATATAGTATATATAACAATAAGGTTGATTGGTGTGTGTGTGTGTGCCATGTTTTGAATACCCGCGCTTGAACAACTTGCAACAAGAAATTCCGACAATATTATTTCGCAAACCAGAGGTATTTTCAATAAAACTACATATCAGGGAGTACTTTAGATGTTGATACTAATCGACTCAAATCATTGTTCGACAACTGATTTGGTTCATGACAGACAAGAATCAAATTATGTATTTCACGGTTCAGTTCTGGTTGTTTTTTAATTTTTTCCCTAAACTTCAGGTAACCCAGGAAATATGTCTCTTATCCGTCCTCTGTTCAACACATCAGTAAAATCGTTAGAAAATTCTATATATGACATATTATTATAAAAGGTATAGGACCGTCCTGCGTTTGATTGAAAAATAGCATTGATTCGAGCCCTATCGGGTATATCAATTGAAAAATTATCAAGAAATTTAATGGTAGGGAATGATGCTGAGAAATAGTTGTTTGGAGACACAATGGTAATCAAGTCACCGTTTGTTGATTGGAAAATATGTTGTAAAGTGTATTGACGTAATTCTGTAGGAACATAATCGACAAGAAGTTCAGGCTGAGATGGGATAATCATTTCGTTTAAGTCTAGTTTCCATATAAACATATCATGTGCAATATATAATCGGTAATTTGAAAACTCTGGAGCAATAGCTAAAAACATAAAATCTGGAATAATATCACACAAATTTTTGAGGATCGGCTGCTTACGAGTTGTAGATCTTATAGTTGTTGTTGTTTTTGGTATTGCTGATGCGGTGGTAGACGTTGGGAGTGAATCATATTTGTTTTTTCTTCCATATAGATATTGTACTGCATTTATATCATCAACATCTAGACCACGAATCTCATGCTGATAGAAGGCAAACATAATAGCATTCGGAGAAGCACTATGTGCTATGCCGAGAGCATGTCCAATTTCATGAACCAACACCTGATAGAGAATGATGTCAAAAATCTCAGATAGCAAATATAAATTCGTTTACCCCCCAATCAAAATCTTGACTGAAAAAAAATTAGGCAGCAAATATACAATAATCATACACGAATTTACTATATTTCTAAATTTCTACTCTCATGTGCAACTTGTAATTGGAATTTCCGCCGGACAAACGATACATTCATGTATTACTAAGAAATTATATAAAAAATACTGCAACCGCAATGAATGTTGTTTTCTCGATAAAAATGGTACTGAGAATATGATGCATATAATATGCATATTTACGATACAATTATCTCATGCACGCGTGTGTTATCTCAACCACGTATTTATATTTAGCGAGCGCATGCAATAGTCATCATTGTTTCACACTTAACGCACAACGCTGCAAGCTGGAACAACGGCCGCAGTACAATAGTGCTTCGAGAGAGACGAGATAGCGAAAATTTTAAAAAAAGTAAGTGCTATTTTATTTAATATTTTTCTTTTTTATGTCTCTAAGTGCAACTGTTTTTTCGTGTTATGCTTCAAAATAGTTAGACGACTCAATTTTTTTTATAGATGGATTTATCAAAAATTAATGCTGCGTCTTCGATTGTAGACCGCAAACCTATCAGAAAATTAAAGGACCTACCAGTCGGGACACCATTTGCAATCCAAGCAGCTAAAGTGGTCAAGTCGAAATTTGGGGAAGCCGTGCTACTAGATTTAGGACCGGAAGTGCTATTTCTACCACAGCGGGTGACGGAAACGTACCAGCCGGTCATCGACGAACTTTTTCACGGAAAATACTCGATCATCTTCCAAGGGGAAGTGGACGTAGGGAAAAGCCGACCGCTAGCATCATTCAAAATAGTGGAAAATTAACAAAGCAGAGAACAGGAGGAGGAGGACAGGGTGAGCATTTTTATATATTTTTGAGTAATGTGTTTGCTTGAAAAAAAAAATGTCGTCTTTTCAAATGTCTTCAAATAAGGTTAAAAAGATCATCAAACAAACAGACGGTGTTCTACTATCAATTGTTAGTCTACGGAAAATTTTATTTGATAATTTTACAATCAGAGACGCGGAAGTGTGGCTGAAACGAATAGAAAAACAAATTAGATTATGTAAACGGGTAATTCGTAGTAGAAGGCAAAATAAATTATCTGTAGGGACCTGTAGAAAAGTAGAAACAAATTTGGGGCATTTTAAACATTTTAGAAAGTTGATTTTAACTAGACATATTGGGGCAGGACTTCACTTAACATTGGGTCAGAGGGTTAGATGGGAAAATGTAGAATCGAGCTTTCAAAGTAGAATAAAAACCGGTTCCATAGCTAATTTGCGTCATAAGGACTTGAATCAATTTTTAGCAGATTGTGTAGTTGTTTTTAAAAGGAAAATTAGGAATATTTTGAACACCCATTGTGCGCTCAAAGTAAATACAACATTTTGCGGGGAGTTTATTAGGAAATCGGGGGATAATGAAATTTTGGGAATTAAATATATTAATACTAAAAATCATATTATTGATACATCAACTCAAATAGACGAGTGGTTTAAGATATATGTGAAAGATAAACTTTTAAACGAATTATCGGAATTTGCTGAAAAAGATTCGGGATTTGCGTTAAATAAAATTATTTCCTTAGTTGTTAATATCAGTAAATATCAATTGGGAAACGGTTCATCTTATATTAGACTACCAGAACCGATTATAAGGAAAAATGCTTGTATAAACATTAAAAATATAGATCAAAATTGCTTTTACTGGGCCATTGTAAGCGCTCTTCGGACTCCTAGCAAAAAAAGACATGCAGAACTAACCTCCTCATATCCACACTTTACTGACGTTTTACAAACAGAAAATTTAGATAGTCCTATGCTGCTAACAAAAATTTCAAAATTTGAAAAGATGAATAACATTTCAGTCAATGTTTACGCTTTAGAATTGATCGAAACAGAAAAAAAATCATTTTACATAGTAGTACCAGCAAGATTAACGGAAAATAAACGGGATACGCATGTTAATTTACTTTTAGCTCAAAATAAATATTATCCGCGTTTAAATGATTATGATGCTCCTCCACCAGCGCCAGCAAATGAAGATAATGATTCAATCGATGAAATTAAATATCACTATTGTTGGATTAAAAATCTTTCGCGTCTTATTAGTAGCCAGTTAAATAAACATCGTGAGAAAAAATTTATTTGCGATAGATGTCTGAACTATTTCCATCAGCAAAATAAATTAGTTGAACATGAAAAACTGTGTTCTAAATTTAATAAATATAAAATTAACCTTCCTAAAGAGAGCTGCGTTGAATTTAAAAACTTTACATACCAACAAAATACTCCTTTTGTTGTTTATGCAGATTTTGAATGTCAATTAGAAAATCATAAAGAAAGTAGCGTCGTAAATTTAACTAAAACCATAAAATATCAAAAACACGTTCCGTATAGTGCTGGTTTCTATGTAAAATGCAGCTATGATGATAGCCTTTCTTATTTCGAGAGCTTTCGAGGTGCAGATTGTATGGATTGGTTTGCAAATCGTATGGCTGGTGTTGCGCAATTTGTAAACTCAAAAATAAAAACAAGCGTACCTATGATTGAAAAATTAGACACATGTAAGGCAACATCATGTCATATTTGCGGTAAGAGATTTTCAAAAACAAAAAAAGACATAATCGTTAGAGATCACAACCATTTCAGTGGAGAGTTCAGAGGTTACGCACACCAAGCATGCAATCTGAACTTTAGAAAATTGTTTGTTGTGCCGGTTATATTCCATAATTTAAGTGGGTACGATAGTCACTTTATGATTTCGAATTTATGTAAAAAAGGTCGCTTAAGTCTACTTCCCATCAACAAAGATAAATACATCTCCTTTACGCTGCACTCAGATGAAAATAACATTAAATTGCGGTTTATAGACTCTTTTCGATTTATGGGGGCGTCTCTTGATGAATTAGCTTCAATTTTAGCAGTATCAGAAAAGAAAATTTTACAAAGGGAATTTCAAAATTTAGATGAAGATAA